ACGGCACTGACAATCTAGTCTAGCGTACGGAGGGGACCTTAGTTGGCGGACAGCAACCGTACTAACATCGGTTGCCTAGCCTTACGTCGCCCTTCCAAGGAATTTCAGGAAGGCGCCGCGTAACAATAATCATGTATAATTTATGTATTCAACTATAAAAACATTGATTTTGGCCGGCTATTTGCGTAAAAAGCAGCTATTTGGGTTAATTCTTATTCTTTCACATTTTTGGTTCTTTATAAGACTACTTGAATTTGTGATATAGTGCTTATACTATAAATTAGCTGGAGTGGTCATAATTTCTAGAATTTTAGTTTTAGTGAAGTTGAAAATTTATCAATCGATGGATAACAAATGAATAACATCTAGTATTAACTCATAAACATTGAGACATGACTAATTACTACATATAAAACTAAAAAAACCATATGAATAAAAAACCAAAGCATATCATATTCAGCCAAGAAGTTCAAACATAGTTGTGTTCACATTCTCCCGTTTGGTAGTCCAAAATTGAGCCATGAACAATCTGCCACACAGATATTACATTGAAAATGCCAAAACTTGTTCTAACTTACAAGCAAGAAAAAAGAATTCGATTAGTAATTAAAATCTACAGCTCAACATTTTCAGTTTTCTCAGTCAACTGTTTTGGCTGCTTAGCAGAAAAAAGAATCATTTAACTGCTATGGTGTAAGTTTTCCTGTCAAAATTGTTCTGGTTAAAGTACGGATCGCTATATAGAGAAAGCTAGCTTTTGGCGTAGTATGCTTCCTTTTAATCCACAACTTTCCCGCAACGTTTAGATCACCTTAAACGCTAAAGCAACCAGCATACCTCTTGATAGCGAACACTTGGATCGGGTTAGTCGTATGTCATACTCTTTCTTGAGACTAGTCTGTATGAGTCTGCAACTTTTCTCGGAACGCCAAGACCAAAGAGATATAGATCACAGTTGAAGCTACAACAGATACCCCAAGACAGACACAAATGGTCGTAGCACAGACGTACAAGAACCTGAACAAAGAAAGGTCGCTTTTAGTTACCATGCAAATTCAAAAATCAGATGAATAACAAAGGACCATAACTATTTTAAACAACTTGTCTTACAAAGAAAGAGTTGGATATATGACAAAAAAGGCAGCTCGGTGCACTAAGCTCCCGCTATGCGCGAGGTCGAGGAAAGGCCGGACCACAAGGGTCTATTATATGCAGCTTTACCCTGCATTTCTGCAAGAGGTTGTTTCCACGGCTCGAACTCATGACCTCCCGGTCACATGGCATCAACTTTACCAGTGAAGTCAAGGCTCTCCTTCTGTTGGATATATGACAAAGCAAAATATATATACATGTATCCTGATTTCAACTTTTTGTGGCACTTACTTGGGAGAAAATACACTCCAAACAAATAAATGATTCCTCATTAGCAGCAACACAATTGTGTAAGCTATCAAAAGAATGGAATTCAAGCCCAACGGAACCAGACAAGGAAAACCAAGCGTCCGCTTAAGCAAAGATCCAATGTTGCAACCACTTGTGTCCTTCACAGAAGTGTACATCACCATGCTAAGGAGGTATAACATTGGTGAAGCATATGTAATAATGAACATTAAGATGCCAGAAAGTATAGTCGAGTGGTTCAAGACACCCTGGCAATCAAATCAACTGGGAACATCAGATTCAATATGGATCATTTCCAATTTGAAGAAAACAGAAATATAGCATGAAACCACAACAGCAAAGATGTTTGGGCAAGAAAATTACAATAAAAGCACCAGCAACATCGATTGTAGCAAGGGTGTTGGTGTTGCCGAGACCAAAATGGCCTGCCATTCCCATATAATAAAGTGCAGCCACCTGATACACAAAAAGGAGAAAAATAAGACTTGTGAAACTAGCATTGAGCAGTTATAGTATTAAGAGTTGTTAACCACATAAAATATTATGTATATTGAACAATAGCGGACATGACCAGACTAATTCAAGTTGAATGTTAGCGAACATTGAATAGAATTATAGAAATTGATAGCAATAGAGAAGCTAAACATCTATTTAGTTGTTCCATAATCTAAAAGAGTTAATGTCACCCTCATCCAATTAAAGGATATTTCCCTGCATTAGTACTAAAACAAATTGAGGATGAACAAAGATATTTGTTGAATTTCGTAGTATGGAAAACAAGTATAATCATGGTCATCTTCATCAAATGATGTTTGCCTTCTTTTTTTCTTTTTCTTTTTCTTTTTCTTTTTTTTCTCTTTTTGGTCATATTTTATTTGGTAATATTGATGCCATTGTTGTTTTGCTTTCTTTTCCTTTAGTCATATATTTATCGTTCTCATTACTCCCTTTGTTCCCATTTGAATTAACCTTATTCACTTTCCAACAGTCAACCAACTTTAAGAGAGATTAGTAATAGCATAAATCTAATTTTGACTAAAAAACTTAAATATTTAGGGAAGAAACACCTAGAAAGATTATTACACGTTGTTTCGATAGTCAAAACATTGTGATTTTAAAAAAAAAAAGAATCAAAGATAAGTCTGTTTGAACTGGCTTTCTTTTGACAAGAAATTACTAATATAGGAATATCCATGTTAACTGACATGTTCTGCAAATTGAAATGTTTCCGCAATGAGTTTGAAGATTCTTACTTTAAGGACAAGTTAGGTTTACTAGGAATTTACAACTTGCTCATGATATTTCAAAGATAAAAACATCGTAAATACTAAAAAGGCAGAAGCAAAAAAGAGAACTTTGATGAATACTTAAAAGATCTAACTGACCTCAACCCATTGCCTAAGATGCTGGTCGGAACCGGAAGAATACCAAATGCTAGCTAGTACTTGCAAGAAGAGAAATAGTACAGGCAATGAGTTTATGGGCTGCTGCAATAATAGCTGTAAAAGAGACCAATAATATACATAACTCAAGCCAATCACATAGGCAGAATTCCTGAAACCTAAAACCCAAACCTTTCTTTGGGCGGGCAAGCGGACTTCATGCACAGAAAGCGTATGATTTTGGAGAGGTATACACCATGGTACAGCAACAACAATAGTCGTTGAACAGAAACCTAGGACGGCATAAATTATCTGAGCCATTAAAGTAGCATCATAGCTACCTGTACCGAACGAAAGTTCTTGATATCTAATGATATAATATAGAACCAGAAACCCAGGGAACAAGTGCATTAAGGAAACCACAGTCACGATATTCCTTTTTGACCGTTGGGACCACGGAAGAGAAACTAAGCTTATAGTGATTAGGAGGATACCCGACACCAGCTGGAAAAACTTTATATAAGTGCTTCCCGCCTGCTCCAACCATTTTGAAATGTCAGGAAGATGAGTCCAATTAACGCCACCTTGATGCCATCCTCTCAAAAGT